AATAAAAACTGCTCCCATGAAGCAAATGAAAACTGTGACCACACTGCTAGGATTAAGAATAATCTGTATGATGAGGAGATCACCTCTGTATGAGAAGAATTCAAAGTAGAAATACAAGAGCTAAGGGTAGATATGTTGAGACAACAAAAAGTCATAAAATATAAGCTGGCAAAGTTCAGGAAAGAAGTTCAACAATAATAGCAAAAAATGTAAAAAGGAGCCTGGACATTGCTAACTACTCGTTCATGAACAATGTGGGTAAGACTTTTTTTTTTTTTTTTTAATATCACTTTGCTCAGGGAGTCAAAACTGATTAGAAGGGAAGAAATGATGACTCCCCTTTGCTTTTTCTGCCTATTGTACACATCCTAAGTGTCCTGGAGGATGAGAACCAAAATAATGAAACTGAAATACAATACATATTTCAAAATATAAATCAGAAACTTTTGAGAAATTAGAAAGGAAGGGGAAATTGAACCAACTGAATGAGACTTACATTTCAGGAAAAAGAACTGACACAGTATGACCAACTGCAAAACATCTACTAACAAAGTAAACAGTATTCAAATATATATTTTTAAAAGGACTTTTAGGTTTCAAAGGCAAAAAAAAAAAAAAATAGGACACCTAAAAGGGAAAATATCAGGCTGGCCTGACACAGTAAGATTCAATAAATTAATAGAGCAAAGGTCTCATGGAAAGCAAATGACACACATTTTATAGCCTAGAGGGAGAGACAAACATATTTTCAACATTCAAGAACTCACCTTTCTTGAAAACTTTACTAAAGGACAAACTGAAGACAACCGAGAAACAAATAGGAAACCTATAGCAAAGGACCTAGATTTACCTGTAAAACTAAAATCAAAATAAATGCAGGAATAACGGTTCACAGAAGAATGTGAATGCTCTGAACGATTTAATTAACAAAACTGGAGTTGGATACAGGTCATAAACACAGGCTATTTTTTTCTACCTTTGTTCAGCCATGCTTCATAAAATATTTAAGTCTAACAGAATTATATTTTAAGATAGAAAAGCAAATAAAGAGATAATACAACCATCCAAAACCAGGGGACGAATTTAAGAGAGAGGGGAGGAAAGAGAAATGTGGGGAAATCCATAAATTGTATCATTGCGCACAAGAGGAAATCAATAGATATAATCCAAAAATAGAAGATTCTCTGTTAAATTCATCAAGTTAAGTAGCTAGAACAAATATTCAAAATTATCAATGAAATACAGCATCAGGAAAGCAAGGAAATCACCATATAATGAGTTTTTTTAAAGAAGCAATTTTAACTGAAGACTAGGCATACACTGTCAGAACTAAGCCATGGCTATCATACTGATCAATGCCGAAGGCCAATCTCACCTATGAGAAGGAAAGAACTCATTAGCTACTGCTGGCCGAATGACACACATCGGTACCTGCTGTAGGCACAGTTGTTCACGTGTAACCCACTGCCATGCTTTTACTGTGTTTTAAACTTAGCCAAATTATAGTTGCAAATAATAGCATTTCATCTGTGTTTATTTGGTGGTTGATGAAATTCCATGTTTTTCTCAAGAGTATTGGCCTTTTGCATTATTTGGAGCATTGTTATTCCATGCTTCCCATCGCTCTCATGGTTACAAAAAACAATCTTAAAACAGCCTTCAGGGTCCTGTGGGATCTAGTGCCCTAGGTCTATCCTGTGGCTATCTCTAAACTCTGGGACAAGGTCTCGTTTACTCCTTCCTTCTCATCTCCCTAATATTAGAGTGCCCTGTGCCCTAGTCTTCGCATTGTTTCTCTTTTCTGTCTGTACTTACTCCCTTGGTGACTTCAATTTTGCAATTCAAAAATAACATCAATATGCTGACGTCCTTCCAACCTATATCCTCAGCCCTGGCCTCCCCACCACCTCTGCTCCAAAAGTCAGTCTCAAATCTCTACCTGTTCACCCCACATCCTCATACGGGGCTCAAGAAAGTACAAGGCCCAACACACCTGGCTTTATGTCCCCCTCTGACTGCTGACTTCTGCCACCCACTCCTGGTTTGCCACTCCCCGAATGAGGCCTTTTCAGGTCATCCTAAATAAAACAACACCTACAGGTACCTAACATTCACATTCCTCAGGAATTTTCAGCCAGAGCATTATCATTGCCTGATATATTTTGTAAAAAGATAAATAGATGATAGCACAAGATAGATAGAAAGATAGAGAGCAAGATTTAAATAGCATTGTTTTGGCACTTTACAGATGTAATTAACAAATAGAATCTGCCCAGCAACCCATGAAGTGAGTACTGTAGTTACCCTCTTTTCATAGATGAGTCAAATGAAGCACAGCTCAAGGTCACCCAGCTAAAGTGTAGCCTGCAGAGGTCAGAATAAATGTTGGCCATCGGATTTCAAACTTTAGGATCTCAATCACTACTCTTTTTTTTTTTTTTTAAGATTTTATTTATTTATTTGACAGAGAGAGACATAGTGAGAGCAGGAACACAAGCAGGGGGAGTGGGAGAGGGAAAAGCAGGCTTCCCACGGAGCAGGGAGCCCGATGTGGGACTCGATCCCAAGACCCTGGGATCATGACCTGAGCCGAAGGCAGACGCTTAACGACTGAGCCACCCAGGCACCCTCAATCACTACTCTTTACAGTCTTTCACATCTACTTATGTGTATATATATATATATACATATATATACATGTTTTTCCTGTCTCCCACTAGAATTTAAACACGACTTGAGCAGGAAATTTATTATGTTCACTGTCTTATCCCCAGCTCTTAGAACAAGGGCCTGAAATGTAGCAGGCAATCAATAAAACTTTATTGATTAATGGGAACTCATATCTCTTTGAAACAAAATAAAAATGGATGCTTATGAAAGAAAAAACTTCTACTGGCTTCCAGTCTAATAATAATAAAAGATATCTCAGAATAGTTAGAAAAAAAAACCTGGATGTCTGCCATCAGAGTTACAGAAAACTTTATGCAATAAAAGGAAAAATGAATTTTAAAAAATCTGAACATTTTAAATTCTAAGTCATGTTTCCCAGAAACGATTCTGCCATGTTCATCATTATGTGCAGTATTAGCATTAAGGAAACGGCAATCAGATTGGTAAATTCACAAATCATCTCTGTGCTTCTATCTTGAAAACAATTAAATAGAGATAAAGAAATAATAAAGCCTCAAACTGGGACCATGCAATGGGAATGGAATGAAAGGAAACATCTGAGAAATAACTAAGGGTGATAAGAGCAGGAGCTTGAATTCCCTGAATTTGGGGACATAGACAAACCTGTAGTTTTCTACCTCGAGTGACCTGGTAGAGGGTAGTGCCACCAGTGTGTCAGGTTCAAGGGGGACACGTTGATTTTATTTTAGCTGTGCAACACCCAAGTTGAGATACCAGGATGACTATTAGACATAAAGATCTGCAGTATAGGGCAGAGGTTACAACGCCCTGACTTGAGAGTCATCAGGACATGGAGGCAGTACTTAAGACCACAGGATCTCCCAGACAGCGAGTACCAGGTGCAGAGAGAAGAAGGCCAAGGGCCAAAGCTAGAGAAAACCAAGAGTTATGCCTAATACTGTTTATTTTGCATTGTAGGTGTTCAATACATACTCATGATTAAGGAAATAATAGCACCAATGACCTGCCAAGATGTAGAAAAAAAAATTCTGAAGATTTTGGCTTTTACTCAAACTAAGAAACAGGGATTTTCTTGAGCCACAAAGACCTCTCTTTCCCTCCCTTTTTCAAGCTGGTTTTTGAATGGCTGGCTACTTTTCCTATATTTTACAAGGCCTCAAAAGTCTACACAACTAATTTTTTAAAAGAAGCAGCTCCTCCGTCTACAATTTATCAATACAACAAGTAGTCAGTGAGCACCCTGCATTTGCAAAGGCTTCTTGTTAGGGCCAAGGATGAGGAGTAATTCTCCCTATCCTCAGAGGGTATAAAATGCAATTTAGAAAGAAGACAAATCCACTAAGATTTAAGTAACAATTCCTAGTGGCCCATGTGCTAGAGGACTGGTAGACAAGAAGAGCTGCAAGGGTTCAGAGGAAGAGAGGCATCCCCAGCTAAAGGGAAGTGGGGCTGAGCTGGACTAAGAGACCAGGAGTAGGGCAGAGAAAGTCATTCAGGTGCTTAGGTCTGACCAAACTCCAGAAGATTCCAAAGATCAAGGTTCCTATAGAAAACAGTTTGCAAAGGAATGGACAGCATAAGGGTGGGAAGGCAGAGTGGGGGAAATCAAAGCTGCTGTCAAAGGTCAAGTTCGATTTCACACACACACACACACACACACACACAGAGTAAGTCACTTGGTGGAACATCACCTTTTACCTTTTGTTTTTCCTCATTTTCGCTCTTTGCATTTCCTTCCAGGGAAACTCAACACCTAACACAAGGCTTCCCTTGCCTGTCTATAAATGTGAATCACACCTAGCTTTCTCTGTGAGTCAGAGTTCTTGGGAGTGTAGGATTTTGGACTCGGGACATATCAGGGAGTAGTCAGAACTGGAAAGGGAGGGCAAAATTCATTGAGTTCTAGATTGTTCTAGAAAGAAAATCCTAGAGATGCTTCAGTTCTTAGAGATTCTCGTTCCCAAGTTAGACAGGTCACTTTGGACAGAGATGGAATGGAGCTTTGATAAACTACTTAAAGTCAGATCCCATGGGAGATGTGGCTCTAAGTAACCTCCAAACCCTAGACCACATCCTAGTCATTTCCAGACCCATTTTGGTATAATAAAACAGCAATCCAACTGAGGATTCAGTTGGGCCACTGAAGACCTCTGTACATGATACTGACCCATAACACCTTTCTCTTTCACCAGAAGTCTTGGATCCCCCCAGAGAACGGGTCGCCAGAGCAGCAAAGGAGGGACCGCACCCCAGCTCCACATCTTCATAACCGCACGAAAGCCACCCTCATTTTCCTGACATCACCTGAGCATCCCCTCTCTACCACTGACTGCATTTTCTGGACTCACCTGAATGAAGATATATTCATCCTGAACAACCAGGGAACTGATGTCAATGGAGCGGGCAAAAGGCCCACTGCGAGTGGTCTCGGCACATTCCTGGATCCTGCAGGTGAGGTAGTGAGCATCTGAAAAGGGAGAGCAGCACTTAGACACAAAGGCAAATATGGTGACAAAGCTCTCAACAGTACCCAAGGCTCTACCTCATGGGAAATCAATGATGCAGTTTAAAACAACAAGATTGCACTCACTTTCACAAGAGTTGTAATAATTTTAAAAATGGCAATATCTAGATGAGGCAAGGGAGTGGGGAAAGAGTTAATCTTACATCCTACTGGCAAAAGGGTAAACTGGTGTAGCTTTTTGGAAGAACAAACTGGAAATATCTATCAGAATTTCAAATGCGCATACCTCAAACCAGCAATTTTAATGCAAGCAATGTCTTCTAAAGAAATACTCATATATTTTCCCAAAGAGTCAAGAGCAAAGATGCTCACTGTGGCATTGTTCACAGCAGTGAAAAATCAGAAAGAGACTAAATGTCCCTGAACATTTCAATAAACCAAGGTGCACACATTACAGAGGGCTAGCTGCAATTAAAAGAATTAAATAGAGAAACATTCAAATGCTGATTTCTCTAAGGTCCCTGTTCCTTTCCAAATAACCTTTGACAAAATATTTGCCAATATGATAGCATGATACAATTCAAGTCCCCAAAAGCTTTGTCTTTATAAATGTATAGGTTTGTGCCACAGTGCATAGAAAAAAGGTTTTTTTTAAGATTTTACTTATTTACTTACTTATTTACTTATCTATCTATTTATTTGAAAGTAGAGAGAGCAGGGGAAAGGCAGAGGGAAAGGGAGAGAATCTCAAGCTGACTCCACACTGAGCACGGAGCCCAACTCGGGGCTCAATCCCACAACCCCAAGATCATGATCTGAGCTAAAATCAAGAGTCAGACGCCTAACCGACTGAGCCACCCAGGTGCCCCTGTGCATAGAAAAAAGTTTTAAAGGAACCCATAAAAAATTAGCTATGATTACTTGTGGAGGAAAAGAATGGACTCGAAGAGGTAGTGTTGAAGTGGGACCTTTGCTTTTTATATTATATACATCTTTATTATTTTTACAATTAGAATGTATTCACCTATTACTTATATAAAATCTATAAAACTTGTATGATTACTTGTCAGATCTTCTGAAGATCTCAGCAGGTGAACAGCCCCTCAAGCAACCCAGGAACATGATGGCAGAAGCTGTAGCTGAATGGGAAAAATTTTTGACTATAAAATGCATTCTCATTCTGATCACAGGGTCATCCAAGAAAGACAATCCACTCAGTTATTTGCTCCTTAAGGAAAAACTACAGGTAAGTCTCTGTGAAGAAACCTGTATGTACATTGGCTTTTAAAATGGTTTTTATTGGGGCACGTGGGTGGCTCAGTCGGTTAAGCATCTGGTCATGATCCCGGGGTCCTGGGATCGAGCCCCACATCGGGCTCTCTGCTCATCGGGGAGTCTGCTTCTCTCTCTCCCTGCCCCCCACCCCCGTTCTCTCTCGTGATCTCTCTCTCTCAAATAAAAATCTTTTAAAAATTAAAAATAAAATAAAATAAAATGGTTTTAATTGAACAGTATTTAAAAATAGTGAAAAGTTAGGAATCATTTTAGTATAAAAAGCAGAGAAGTCTCTGTTATCACCTAAAACCACGTTCATCACTATATGCATCTCATGCGATTGTTCCTTGGAATGTGTGCCCAGGTGTGCACAGGTATCATGTGCAGCTCGCAGGCAGCAAAGATAAAGGCAAAAGCCTTAACTAAGCAAAAATTTATAACAATTGAGTTTAAACCACGAGTACTTTAAATTATCCCCTTTTATCTTTAATTAATTAATTTACTGGTGGCTGCACCGAGCCCTTCTTGTACACACACAATGTACCGGGCACTGCTCAGGTACTAGGAATAGAGCAGGGAGCAAGACAAGTGTACCTGCTGACTAGGAGGGGGCTGATCACATTATTTGTAGCCAGCTATTCCACACATTTATTTATACACATGAGACTAATTTAACAAAGAAACACATTTGGGTAAGAAATGAATTCATTATGGGCTATATTCCAACTTCCTGAGTGTCCAGAGCTGAACACAGTCTATTTTTGTTGGTATTCTTACTCGGAACACGTCAAACATCCACTTCCTTCTCTCCGTTAGCGGTCGCTCGCATCATATGCCCACGAGCGCAAGCCTCTTCCCTTTTCTTTCCTCCATGTGCCATATAATCCAGGTGGTTCCTAGCCCTGATAATTCTGCCCCTGAAGTGCTTCCAGAGTCTCTCCCCTTCTCTCCACAAGCCCTGCTGATTGCCTGGGGCGAGGCCTTCTCACCCGTGTGGCCTGTTGCATCTATCTCACGACTAGCCTACACACGCGTGATGGACTGGACACTGCATGGGCCCGAGGCAAGGAACAGAGTCATTTCTAAAACCCAAACCTGAGCTCATCTCTCCTGGCTTTCAAACAGCTCTGAGGGCCCTGGGACAAAGCCCAAATGTCTTTCTATAGAACGGAAGGCTTTTTACAAGAAGCCTAATAAAATCAAATGCCTAAGGAGCCAGACAAATTCTGTGTAGGAGTAAAATGAGCTGGATGAATATGACAAATGGTAGCTGGTGCATAGCCTCGGTGTCAGGGATCTCCTAGGAGTGCTGGGGACTGCAGCAAAATGGCCAACACTGGACTCTTCAAGGAGAAGCTGCTCCTCAGTGTCCACTGATCGTTGACATGCAGGAATAAGACGTTCTGTGTTTTATAAATCTAACTGTCCCTATTTTTTTAAGGTGAAGTTGCCTGATTTTTTAAAAAATGGACAGCTAGGGGCGCCTGGGTGGCTCAATTGGTTAAGTGTCTGACTCTTGATTTTGGCTCAGGTCATGATCTCAGGGTTGAGGGATCGAACCCCACATCGTGCTCAGTGCGGAGTTGGCTTGTCCCTTTCCCTCTGCCGCTCCCTGGGTCATGTGCGTGCACTCTCTCTCTCTCAAACAAATAAATAACATCTTAAAAAAATGGACAGCTATTTTAAATTTAAAACAGGGTGCAGGCCAAACACTGTATAGCCAAACAAAACAAGCCTACATCCAAATACCCCCTAGGAGCTGCTCATTCCCTATCTCTACTCTGTAATTTGGTTCCTACCTACCTTTCCAGAGGAGACAGACCCTCGTCCCCCTCTTCCCTGACCCATTAGCAAGACCAGATTGTTTGCCATTCTGTAAGTACAGCCTGCCCGTGCCTTCCTCTTTGTCTCTGTTCGCAGAGAGAGTCAGGAGTGGCCTATCTCTCCACTTCTGGCCGAGAGGGCGAGGGTAGGCAAGGAGCCCAGCTGGGCCGGGCAGCCCATGGCCTGCCCACCAGGAATACTCTTGGACCCACAAAGCCTTAGCAATTTTCTCCGAGAATAAGGCACTAAAACCCAGCGAAAAGCTGTAGTAAACACATAGGAAGAAACCACAAGTGTTGACATGACAACCTGCTTCCTTCTTGCCAGTCAGGGTCTCAGAAAGCTCCTTACACTGCGAATCAAAGGTACACACAGGAGGACATCTGCTTGTACTCCCCCCGCCAAGGCTCATTTTCCCCTGTCTATTTACTATTCACTCTCAAATTTGGACACTTTGGAAAAAAAAAAAAAAAAAAAGAACCAAGAGTACTCAAGGCCACCCCAAACAAAATAAAAACCTACCTAAACCTTGGCCCACAGCAGGTAAGCTATTGTGCCAAACTCATCCTACTTCTTGGCTCTCCCCCTGCTTGCTGCTGCCCAGCATGGAACGAAAGGTCCAATTTAACAGGAAAGCAACTCTAAAATGAATTTTTCAAATCTACTTTAAAATTCAAGGGCCTTGGGGCGCCTGGGTGGCTCAGTTGGTTAAGCGACTGCCTTCGGCTCAGGTCATGATCCTGGAGTCCCTGGATCGAGTCCCGCATAGGGCTCCCTGCTCGGCGGGGAGTCTGCTTCTCCCTCTGACCCTCTCCCCTCTCATGTGCTCTCTGTCTCTCTCATTCTCTCTGTCTCAAATAAATAAAAATCTTTAAAAATAAATAAATAAAATAAATAAAATTCAAGGGCCTTGCAGTCTTTAGCTGGACTCATACATTAGAAGTCTCAATGTTTTTATTTTTCAAAACACAGAGACATGATAGTAAGTGCTATGGCGCCCAATGTCTGGTGAGAACCTAGAACGGGGGGAATGGGGAGAATAAATTACCAGGTAGGCCTGGCCACCAGATGGAAGTGACTGAGGGTGACAACGGACTCTGGGTGTCAAAGGTGAGCAGGGGACACCAAGAACCTCACATTTGTGAAAGTTCGCAAATTCGGGCTTTGGACATTATCCTAAAATGAGGCCGGATACAGTCATGGAGATTCAAAGATGAAACTGAAAGATATTTGTCATTTAACTTGAATCCCAAACTAGGCTTCCAACACCTGTGGCCCTTTCATTTGCTTTTAATAATAACTCCAGATGCCTGAAGGTCAGATCTCTTGAGCGTAGCATGGTGTTTGAGAGCGAGGCCTCTGAAGCTAGAATGGGCTGAGTTCAAATCCTGAACCTGCTACTTGCTGATCACCCTTGACTAAGTAGCACAGCTCTTCATCTGTGAGATGCCCATAAGTCAGCATTTGCCTCCAAGGACTGTCGTCAGGATTAGATGAGATCATGTATGAAAACGCTTAACACATTGTTGGATCCATTTTAAAAGATAAATAAACGCTATCTCTTTGTTATGAAAATAGAAGGAAATTTAACACTCAGCCTCTCTCATATCTTCAAATAATAACAGGTAATGTTCTGTTTGACTGTGGAGAATCAAAAGGCCGTATTACAGGTTCTCTTAGTAGTCATATTCCAAAATTATATCACTGTTTAATTTCTTGAAGTACTTTGGGTGTGCAGACAAGAAAAAGACAAAAACAAAAACATGTCTGAGCTCGAATAACCAAGAAGGACTTAAAGGAGGAGGCAGCCTTTGTGTTCAGCTAAGATGGAGAAGGGAATTCCTGGAAAGGGAGTAAAAACTATACATGGTCTTTTAGGTAGGCAAAGCTCATGGAAAGCACTA